TTTTTTTTTTTTTTTTTGCCATATGGGCGTGTATGTGTGTGTATTTTTTTTTTTTTGAGAGAGAGAGTGTGTGCACACACTTGAGCAGGGTAGTGGGGGAGGGGCAGAAGGAGAGGGAGAGAGAATCCCAAGCAGGCTCCACACCCAGCACAGAGCCCAACGCAGGGCTTGATCTCATGACCCTGAGATCATGACCTGAGCTCGTAAACAAGAGTCAGAGGCACCCAGGCGCCCCATTGCCTGATATATTTTAATCATTTTTTAATCATTATTTAATCACTTTGTACTAGCTTGCTGCATCTTAAACATTTTCTTTCAAATCAAGTCCCAGATGTTTTGTGAACTAGACAGCAAATCATACCAACAGCTACTGAAACAAACAGTAAACGTATCCGTTAGGCTCAGGTTAGATAACAGATTTCATAGCTGCATCACAAACAGTTAGGAACCAATCACAACGATATTGGTGACTAACCACAGAGAAAGGTAAGGTACATCTCTAGAGAGATTCTAGGCCAAGAAAATTCTTATCTCATCCGGAACAGCACGACTTGAATATGGTCCAAAAATGCACAGCATTAAGTTCACCTGGGAGCCTGTTAGAAATCCCAGTGTTCTGCATAATGTATAAACTTGTCAAATCACTATGTTGCATACCTAAAACTAATGTAACATTGCGTATCAACTGTGCTTCAATAAAGAATGATAAAATAAAATCTAAACACTAAAATAAAATTTGTAATTTGTTATTAGTTCTTTTCTTGTTCTAAATACATACTCCTTTCTCTGTGTGTCTGTGTGTGTGTGTCCCAGTTCTCTGGGTACTAAAATCAGAGTCCAGGTCTTATCCTTTCTCTAGATGAACAAACACGGGTTTAAAGTAGTACTTGTAGAATAGTTAGAGTTGGAAATGAGGGAATAAATAGCTATAGAAAAATAAAACGGATGGCTAATAGAGGTGGCAGAGGGTTCGAATCTCCAGGATGTGCTGCCTCAACAAGAACAAGAGAGAATGGGGGAGCAGAAGCAGATTCGTGCAATAAAGATACACATTCAATTAGAGACACACTGGAATGCAAAGTAAAAATAAAAGTAATATACTTCATCCTGGAAGGGATAGTAGAAACCCTGAATGGTATTTCCAGGGAGGTGACATGAAATAGAACCACCATGACTCCGGGCAGAGGCTGAGTTAACAGCCACACAGAGGAGGCAGGAAGGCAGGCAGGACGGGGCCAGCCAAGGACCATCACAGAGGCAGAGTGCCAGGGAGCTGGCGTTCTGCCAAGCAGGCGAGGAGGAGAATTGCAGACCACATGAGCGGTCAACACGTCTCTAATTTTGTCTTTGCAGGGGGAGCCGAGCAGCTGTCCAGATGTGAGACTCAGTCACTTACAAAGTCCACGCGTGCATCTTCTTCTATTATTATTTTTTAAATTTTAGAGTGAGAGAGAGAGAGAGAGAGAGCTCACGATTCGGTGGGGGGGTGGGGCAGAGGGAAAGGGACGAGCAGACGCTGGGCTGAGCGCAGAGCCTGACGCGGGGCTGGATCCCAGGACCCTGAGATCACGACCTGAGCGGAAATCAACAATCAGATGCTTAACCGGCTGAGCCAACCGGCGTCCCAACGCCCCCCCCCCTTTCAGGCATATAGATGCTAAAGGAGTTGCCATTTGCCATTTTGCCTCTTGCTCTGAGAAGACCTTCAAAGAAAGAGCTTTTATAAGACAGCAGCACAGCGTGGCCCAGATAATGAGCCCAGATTTCCAGTGAGAGAGAAAGAGAGTACCAGCTAGCTGACCAGGGGTATGTCAGGGAAAGGCCCATTGACTCAGGGGGCTGGCGGCCAGCAGGGAAAAACCATTCGAGCTGCAAGAAGCACCAGGACCTGCACTATTAACAAGGTCTATTTCACTTTGATTTTTAGATAATACTGACAAATAAAATAAACCAGTGTTCAAATGGCCATTGGTAGGTTTTCTCTAGTTCCTGTTAATTCAAGTAAAATCAAGGGGCGAGTAAATAAACATCTCACCAGACCTGGATGCCCAAAGCCAAGATAGCAAGGTAGGAAGCACTCTGCTTCATGTAGGCTCCTGAGGAATGCTACACTCACGCTCTACAGGTGGAGCATTTATAAATTCCTGGATGAGGTCCAGCAGGTGCTGCAATGGGGCTGGAAGGACCCCAGCCATGTGTGCTCAGTATTAGCTTTAATATCAAAGACGAGCAATGTTCCTGGTTTGCCTGGATGGAGCTCCACTGGGAAGATGTAAATAAAAGACCACATCAACATGTGCCTTTAGAGTTTTAAGTCAAAATCTCTAATCTTTGTCACCCCTCCTTATCAGGAAGTTGTTCAGCTCTTCGCGGGGTTAGTGAAAAGAGATCGGCATTTTGGACTAATCTTTCCAATATTCCATTTTCACATTTCAATTCCTTGGAAATAAAGAAGAAATCTATATGCTGGATCGCTAAAAATAATATCCTTTAAAAATGAATTTTATTCTAAATAAAAACTTAGAAAAGAAGGTATTTCCTTCGAGATGTATTAATCAGTGCTGTGAGAGATACATGAAGGGGCACGTGGGTGGCTCAGTCAGTTAAGTGTCTGCCTTCAGCTCAAGTCATGATCTTGGGGTCCTGGGATCGAGTCCCGAGTTGGGCTCCCTGCTCAGCGGGGAGTCTGCTTGAGGATTCTCTCTCTTCCTCTCCCCCTGCCCCACCCCTGTTCGTGTTCTCTCTCTAAAATGAATAAATAAATCTAAAAAAATAAAAAATAAAGGGTACATGAGAGATGATCTGTTTCCGGCATAGCAAAGAGATGGCCATCTACGAATGAGGAAGAAGACTCCCACAGGGAAACAAATTGGCCGGCTCCTTGATGTTGAACATGCAGCGTCCACAATGGTGAGAAATCGATTTGTAATTTAAACCACCTCCCGCCCCCTGATCTATGGTATTTTGTTACAGCAGCCTGAACTGAGACACGAGTCAAAATTAAAGTACCAGGACAGTGCCATTTGAAATCCTCAAAGCTCACTACAAATCCTTATAAACACAAGGAAGCAAACAGCACCTTCTTACGGCCATGGTTGTGGAAGAGGTCAGAATTCTCAGGCTGAGGCCTCAGGCTGCCCCACCCGGACCCTCCGAGGCCTGCTCAGGACCACCTCCTCTGCCGTTCGCCATCCCCCACTCCGGGTACTGATGAGAGACTCAACAGCCTCCTGGAATTCCATGAGGACTCTATTCTCTGCAGCACCAACCAGAACATTTAGGAAGAAAAACTAGGGAAACTCTTGGAAAGATCCAGTTCACTCATTCCTCAATCTACCCTACACTGGGTACTCTGTGGGCACTGAGGACAAAAATGGCAGAAAACGCGCCGTGATTCCTTCTTATGCTTTGGTGAACAAGACACACACCGGTAATTCTCTGTCCTCTCTTAAAACACACAACAAACTTGACCTCCTAATCCCTCAGGCTCCCAACAATCCTCCTCAAAGCCTTGCTCATCATGGATGTTCCATCTCACTTCCTCCCCTCTCCTCCCTCAGATGGAACTTTAGAGGCATGAGTGGCCTCTTTTGGCAATCCAAAGGGCCCATCTTTGTCCTTACCTTACCTGACAACATGGTGGCCCCGCCCACAGCTGACCACTCCCACACCTTTGCTGTTTCCCTCCTCCTGCAAGGCCAGGTCTTCCTCCTTAGGAAGCTCTCAGCTTAAACATCACCTGCTGGGAGAGGCCAACCCTCACCGGCCAAGTACAGGACCCTCCCCGGCTCTTGCTAGCCCATGGCTCTATTCACATCCACGGCCTCAGCCTGTCGTAGCTCTCTGTCATTGCCCGCAGTGGCTGGTTGATGATGTGTTGTCCTCAGGAGAGGAGGACGTTGCCAGTCTGCTCACCATCTGACCCATCATGGCTCATATGAACCACAAAATAGTAAACGTTCAATAAATCTTGGTGACTTGATGAATAAAACCAACCAACTGATGGGTATAAAATATTATAGACAACAACAGAAATTGTGTTCTGTGAGAAAGTGGCCATTCCACAGGGCACTGGACAGAGGGCATAGGGGTGGGGGTAGGCTCCACGGTGCGGGAGCTCTGGGCAGGAGGACCTGAAGGCAAGGAAAAGCTGGACACATGCGAACGGGCACATGGTCGCTGAGGCTGGTCTTGGGCCCCTGCACTCCCTGTGCCGTGAACCAGGGCAGGACCTGCCTCCGATGTGCTGGCGACAATGGAAACCGGACATGTTTAGGCATCATCGATAATGTGATCAACAGTGTTGCCTACGTTTTCTTTAAAACAATTTGTTTGTGAGCCCAAACATAGTCTTCAAATGCTTGTATCTACATCCTACAACAAGAATATCTTGTGAGCACTGTTTTGAACCAAATGAAAATCACAATGAAAATCCCAGGATAATATTGCACCTAGCAAATGTCCTCTAACAAATTCCACTGTCTTAAATTATCCCAATGAAAATGGTCTTGAGGGCGCCTGGGTGGCTCAGTTGGTTGAGCGTCTGCCTTCGGCTCAGCTCATGGTCCTGGAGTCCTGGGATGGAGTCCTACGTCGGGCTCCCTGCTCAGCGGGGAGTCTGCTTCTCCCTCTGACCCTCCTCCCTCTCGTGCTCTCTCTCTCTCATTCTCTCTCTCTCAAATAAATAAATAAAATCTTTAAAAAAAAAAAAGAAAATGGTCTTGCTAAGGGAACACTTATTTTATGAGTAGTTAAGAAATAATAGTGAAGAAATCAGGCAGTCTTCCTGACTCAAATCAGGACCAATGTCATGCTGAAAGAGAGTGAAACGAAGTTTCCTACGAGAAGCACAGAGGGTGACGAGAACAAGGCTGCTCCCTGGGTTTTGCTGGGTGAGGAGGGAAGACAGACTCACGGCCTGACAATGGAAGTACACGTTTAGAATGTAAAACACGAAAGCCAAAGATGGTCGAAAACCCAGAGGAGGCGCCAACTCCTACCTGTGGCCAGGTAGATGATGTGGACCAGCATGTCCCTGCCCTGCACCACGTCCACGGCCACGTGGGAGAAGCGGCTGTTGTCCTCCATGAAGGCGGGCACCGAGGTCACGGGCTGCACCACCTCATGCATCAGAATGAACCTCTGAGCATCCTGCAGGTTCCTCTCCGTCAGGTTCATGTATAGGCCCTGGTCCACCGTGCCACACTGCAAGGGAAAGCAGGCCGTTACGGGACACCCACAGGCCGCCTGGACACCCACGGCTGATCCTGGCCACCCGGCCGGAGGGGACATGGAAGCTGAGTCACTGCCTCGTGCAAACACGGGCGTTTCTCCGTTTCCCCTGAACTCCCCGCCCTTAGTGTCCCTCCCATTCCAGATTGGAACCCATTGCATTTGGGGAGTCTTTAAACTCCATCATAAATGAATGATCAGACATTACAAATAAAGAAGTCAGTATTGACTTTAACTTGAACACAGGTGCAGAAAACTCCCCATCACCTGTTGAGTCGCCTGGGAGCTGTCTGGCCACCTGCACGCTATTCTGTCTGCCTGATAAACCGGGGACTCAAATTGAAAATGCAGCAACCAGGAACATCATATAGATCTATTACTTTACCTATTAGAATGATGGGTCTATAAGCAAGATATGGATTCCGTGGAGACAGAATTAGGCCACTTTTACCTGTAAATGATATAATATTATTCCAGTATTTTTCACCTGGGTACAAAACACCACAGGCCTTGTTGCTTTGTGCTCATGCTCCAGGCCAGAGTGAGGGAGGAAGGGCGATGGGGAAAGACGAGGGTAGGGGCGCCTGAGTGGCTCAGTTGGTGGAGCGACTGCCTTCGGCTCAGGTCATGCTCCTGGAGTCCCGGGATCGAGTCCCGCATCGGGCTCCCCGCTCAGCAGGGTATCTGCTTCTCCCTCTGACCCTCCCCCCTCTCATGTGCTCTCTCTCTCTCTCTCTCTCTCTCTCATTCTCTCTCTCAAATGAATGAATAAAATCTTTAAAAAAAAAAAAAAGAAGCGACAGGACGAAGAGAAGGAGAGATGTTCAGACAGAGGCGCTGTCGTGAAGACGAGTCTGGTAGATACGGGGGCGGGGGCAGGGGCGCGCGGGGGAGATCAGGCCTCGAAACTGCTGAGGAGCGAATCCAGAGCTGCGGTGTGCAGAGGCCGGGCAGGCGGTGCACAGGATGGGTTTTGGCAAGAACCAGGTAGACAGAGGGGTGGGAAAGAGAGAAAAGCTTTCCTGGGGCAGAGCACACAATCAGAAAATCCTCACCAATCATTCTCATCTCTTTCCTAAGCTTAAAACCTGGCGCCAACAAAAGCTGATCCTCGGCAGAACTTCCCATCAACAAGGTGGATGGAAATGGATCTCTCTGTCGGTACCACCTGAAACTACCGTTTATCACACGTCCTCTCTAATGCTTGGTTTCATAACAAGCGAGAGGTGCAAAACTGTAGGATGGAAATGGCTTTTTAAAAAATAGATGGTGGGGCGCCTGGGTGGCTCAGTCGTGAAGCGTCTGCCTTCGGCTCAGGTCATGATCCCAGGGTCCTGGGATCGAGCCCCGCGTTGGGCTCCCTGCTCCGCACGGAGCCTGCTTCTCCCTCTCCCACTCCCTCTCCCTCTCCCCCTGCTTGTGTTCCCTCTCTCACTGTGTCTCTCTCTCTATCAAAATAAATAAGTAAAATCTTTAAAATAGACGATATTTCCATAGCAACTGACACAATGCTCTATGTGCCATAAAATGATAAGCCAGTCGTAAATTAGAGACTATCGGAGAGACGTGGGTTCCGAGTCTGGTCCAGTGCATCATCAATGTCACAAATCCCTGCAGGGGCAGCCCATGTGCCAGGTGATGGGGACCCCATGCAGTCGGGTGAGTGGTCAGCTCGGCCGCCCTGGGAGTCACGCCATCTTAGGTAAGACACCGCCTCTTGGCCTGTCTCGGTTATCTATAAAGTAGCTGGAAAAACACTTACTCCGTTCCCTCCACAGGGCAGTGGTGAGGCCAACACAGATCATCAGTGGAAGGCATTTGTAAATTAATTGAAAGCACTTGGAAATGCCAAGGAACAAAACAGTGTGCCTGGCACAGAGAAGCCATTCAACCAAGGGTAAATTTGTCTTGAAGCAGGACAGCAATTCTATGGTCCACTGAGCTGCAGTGGCCAGTGGGAAATGTATGAATCAATAAAGGACGGAATCAGTGGGTGAATACACAAGCAGCTGCTAGTGGGGCAGGGGACTGAGCCCGGAGACTTCCCATCATCATCATATTTAACGGTAGCACTTACGGGACAGGGACATTGCCTGTTAGCCAATGTGTGACACCATGAAACTCTCTCCCAGGCTTGGTCTGAGGTCTACCCAGGTGAGCTCTCGTTCCGAGCAGGACTCTGTGTTTGGCAGTTTTCTCTTCCCGAAATCAACGGCAATATTGAAACACAGGTGGCCCTTAGCTATTTACTTGCTGGGGGATGTTCTACACCCAGGCTTTGTGTTGTACGCAGTGTTTTTAAAAATCGGCATCCCCAAACCGGGAGTCCTAACACAAAACTGAGGAACTCATGGCTGCTCTTGAGGAATCTGGAGGTCCGCAAGACCTGGGAGGCCTTGGTGGGCTACAGCTGGGTAGTACCAGGACCACGGATCTGCCTTTGGCCTTTTTACCCGGGTCCCCATATCTTAAGTCATCAACCAGAACTGCCACTGTGACACCGTGATTTGTAAGAAATACATATTTGGTCTTTGTCCTCTTTCTGACACAGAGCTCCTTAAACCACGGAAATTTCCTAAGCACTAAGAGCAGTAAAGGCGCCTTTTGTTATGTTAATGAGGTGACTCTGGGCAGCCATAGCCCCCAGGTCACCTAAGGATGGAGGCCAGTTGACAGGAGACCCAACTGAGGGTAGGAACTTTCAGTCCACCTCCTCATCTCCAGGGAGGGGAGAACGGCTGGAGGTTCAATTCAGTCACCAAGGGCTGATGATTTAATCAATCATGCCTATGTAATGAAGCCTCCATAAAAAGGCTTCCCAAAAAGGACAGGGTCCAGACGGTTTCCAGGTTGGTAAACATGTGGAGATTTGGGGGGAGTGGCACTCAGAGCGGGCATGGAGTGTCTCTCCCAACACCCTGCCCTGTGCATCTCTTCCAGCTGGTGGTTCCAGAGTTAGGTCCTTTTGTAACAAACGGGTAATTCTAGTACGTAAAATGTTTCTGTGAGTTCTGTGAGTCCCACTAGCAAATTAATTGAACCCGAGGGGGAGGTCCTTGGAACTTCCCATTGATAACTAATGGGTCAGAAACACAGGCGAGGACCTGGACTTAATTAAGATCAGCATCTGAAGTGGCGAGGGGCTGGGTGGGAGCCTGGTGGGACTGATCCTTGTACCTGTGAGGTCTGATGCTATTTCCTGGTAAACAGTGTCAGAACTGAGTTGTCTCGTAGGACACCCAGAGGGTGTTGGAAAACCGCTTAGTGGTGTGCAGAAAACTCCTACACACTGGAACTGGGTAACAAAATCGTTGGCCAAGAACTAATTTTGAACCATACTCCATAACATCTTGGTTTATTTTGCCAGCCTATAATAAATGTCTCACCCAAGGATTCTTTTCCAACTATTTTGAAAGACATTTAGATTTATAGTATATATTTATTGGCTCGGAAGGAACCCACCTAGCTCTCTAATGGGCTGCAAATTCTCTAGCTGTGCCTTATACACTGGGTTCCCGCAGTGTCTGTGTGACACCTTGGGGACTCGGTGCAAGAGGGAAACAATACAAAGAATCATTGTCCTCAAGTGTGTTACAAACCACAGTGGCTGTCTCGTTAACGCTTCTGAGAGTAATAGTCATCATTCTACTAATTTTTTTAATGCAATAATATTGACATTTTTGTTTGTTTTGAAGACAACAGACCCATCCTCATCCCGGCTCGCCGGAGCTTGGTGCAAGTTCACAGTCACCCAGCCTCACGCTTAGAGTGCCTGATCCGAATGGCACTTCTTCCTCCCATCTTGCTGCAAACCTGCTCTGTGTATCAGAGGGTCCTGATGACATGGCTGCCCCCTTCACTTGGTCCAGCAACGGCCTCCTCATCTGCCTGACCACTTTTAAGGGTCTGTCTTCCATGTTGGCTCCATCCTTTCTGATTGATGGTTATCAAAACTGCACAGAAAATTCTGGAGTCTGTCCACTGGGTCTGGATGGTGTTTCCTGTTACTGACCAATGTTTTCCCTTTCGAAGCTCAGGGCCAGGATGACTCTGGGGAGTGCAGGCTCTGACCAGGTAGCTTTCCCAGCACTGCCTATGGTGGTTTCTAGATGGCAACCAATACAAATACGAAACATTTTTCATTGTTTTGTTACTGTTTTCGATATTGAGATTTCTGTATTAAATCTTGAAAAATGATGCACTGTCCCTCCTAAGCCATTCTTCTTCCTGAACCTGAATCACATTTCTGCTCCTCTAACTAATCTGCTGGTTCTAGTTACAAGTGCTGCATAAAATTCCAGATGTCAGTAGGCAAACAAGAATAAGAAAAAAAAAAAAAAATCGAACCACTTCTCACTGCTGGTTACTGCAAACAGAAGGCCATTTATACATGACTACTGGAGGGATCCTTGGTTCAAAATGTATTCCCACCCTGTGCCAGCTAGATGGTCTCATGAACATCAGTCAGGATGCCTTTGCTAACACGGTTATCAAATACGGTAAACCGAAAGAAAATCCTTGGGACTTATTTGTACCAGAAATTATACAAGGAATCATCATCATCTATAATTTCCGTTCCCTGCAAATCTTAAATTCTACCCAAACAAGTTCAGCCCAGCTAAGCAAGCTTCCCACCCGGAATGCATGCCACATCTCTGCAAGCTTCGTTGGTTTGATGGCACAGACCGACTCCCATCTCATAAACGTGAGTAAGCCCTTCAGTGTGACACTGGCATTATAAAACCAGACGCCCGTGGCCTTCTGAAATGAGGGATTTTGCTGTGTGCTACAAATATATTCAGACAAAGGAGCTAAAAGTTATCCACTGCCTGGAGGTGGTAAGGCATCACAGGCTTGTTAAGTCACTGTTCATTGTGAAGACTTTTGCAATAGAAACATCAAGGCAATCCAAGTACCCTATAAATTTAGTGAGCACTTTGTTAATTTTTCTTTAACCTTCGGGATTTTACAAAGAACTTTCTTAAAGGGAATGATCTATTTCACCTTCAGGATTTTACAAAGGGCTTTGATAAATAGTTAACGTTGCACCGCGGCATCCGGGGGCAGGGTGGAATTCGGGTGCAGAGACTCAGCAGAGGGGCAAAGAGTCAGCGTTTAGCTAATAATGACATAAACGGTTTATGCTGCAAGGACCTGGGGCTACACTTCAGGTTCGGTTCCCGCTGAAGTGTTAGCTCACCTGACCTGTAATAGGAATTTCTTTGTCTAGTACTGAACTTTCTTAGTAGCGGGGCTGGGATAATACACATAAACCTGATCCCTCGGTTTCCCGACTTACAAAGTGTGGATGACGCTGCCGACTTTACAGAACTGGGGAGAAGAGACAGCAACAAGCATATGACCTGCCATTAACACAATGTGTGACACCCAGAAGACACAATGTGTGACACCCAATAAATGGCCCCTAAGAGTCTTCCTCTCCAAATACATTCTACAGTCAGCAAGGCACATTAATCAATATTAGCAAAATTTATCCCTAAAATATTCCTGCATCTCTGCATCCCACATCCCTCCTCTCATTGGTGAAAATGAGAGATGGAAGATGCTAAGTGAATGGTCAAGTAAACCAGGAAATAGTAAAGAGCATGTAAAAACCACCCATCTATCTCAAATCCCATGCTCTTAAATAAAAATTAAAATTAAAATAAACCCTCTTTCAAAACAATTAGAGCTGAATGGTTCCTGCCAAAGTCCAAGTAAAGTATACAATAATTGAACCTTTCCATATTCCCAAATTTTCTCAAAAGCCAGTGCGTTGAGCTGATAAACCAACCTGAACTTGGAGGCCTGAGTACAGAAGGCGCTTCTAGCCCTGACTCGTTGGGGTAACTGACGGTCTTTTAGACAGAAGAGGCTGGGGCTTTGCATCTGAGGACTGAGTCTGAGATCCCAGCTCCGCTGCTGGGCCTGATTACCTGCACTGAGGCTCAGTGCCACTCTCTGTCTGTGGGAGAGTCTGTTACTGATCACGGTACTGTTGCGAGCATGCACCATGACGAGCGCAGAGCTGGAACGTGGTGGTCCTAAGAACTACACCCGTGAGGAGGGTGTCGGTGATCCCGTAAGCATTCTGGTCAGAAGGGAGGCCCTCAAGGGAAGCCTGCTGCTGTGAACTGAATGTTCGTGTGTCCCCTGAATGCACAAAGTCCCAACCCCCAGTGCGGTTGTCTTCAGAGATGGGGCCACAAGGGTGTCACAAGGGTGGGGCCCTGATCCCAAAGGATTAGTGTCTCTCCCCACTCACTGAGGAACGGCCCCACGAGGATGCGGTGAAAAAGTGGCCATGTTTAAGCTGGGAAGAGAGCGCTCACCAGAAACCGAATCAGCCAGAGCCTTGATCTTGGACTCCCAGCCCCCAGAACTGTGACAAAACACAGGTCTGTCATTCAAGCCACCCAGTAGGGGGTATTTTGTTACGGCGGCCTGTGCAGACTTATACACCTGCTGACCGACCAAACGTGAGAAAATCACATTAACTTCCCTGGGTCTCAGCTTCTTCTGAAATTGGAAGATGAGAGTAGATGACGTACAGAGCCCCTTATAGCTCAAACATCCTGTAATTTTGTGATTCATAAACTCAGGGCCACCATCTGTTCTGCTTCCCCCCCGCCCCCCCGTGGCACCATCACATCCTGCTCACCCCGACAGGAAATCTCGCCATAGTCACCAATTAGGGCTCTAATTCTGTTTGTGCATCTCCACGGCTCTGTGTCTCAGGCTCCATTCACTATGGTGTCATTCCTTAGGGATCAGAGCTTCTGGGGACACAGAGTCCACCATCATCAGCACTAACTAAGGCTTGGATGCCCAGCCTGCTGCTTCATGCTGGCCTTTTTCAGTTCAGCGTCCGGCGGCCCAGCCCACAAAAGGCCCCTTTTCAGCCCTGGCACCTCAGTTGACAAAAGGCTTCGGCCCACTTCCATGAGCCCAAGCCGAGTGCAGGCCCGGGGGTGAGGGCTGGGGGAGCTCCCAGCTGCACGCTGCATGCACTGGGGTTTCAACTGTGTCGGCCCATCTACAGGAGGTTCTGCTTTCTAGGGGAACGAGGGTCCCACTGCCCCCGCTGAAATTACCTGGAAGTTGGGGTTGGGGTTGGGATACGGCAGCCAGGCAGAGCGTGAGTTCTCCTGGTACTTGAAGGGTCCGTTAAAGGCCTGGGAGATGGCGCTCAGGTTGAAGACGCACACGGCCGAGGCGGCGATGCTGTTCCTGGGGGGCGCCGAGAAAGAGAGAAGGGGAGGCAGGTCAGAGAGCCCCGCAAGGACACCTTCCGGACGACCTCCAGATCACCGTCTCCCAAACACCCCAAGGATGAAGTCGAAGCAGGGCCCGGTGTGCGTCTGGGGCTTCTTTGTGGATGCAGGAGCACCAGAAGCAAGACTACTTGGCAGTTATGACATTTCTAATCCTGCCGCATGGGATTAATTCACTCAGCCACAGAGAAAGGGACAAAGGACTGTGAAGAGTTTCATGGGAGGCCTTTTAAGTTCTGGAGGAAGCAGACGTTCTCCTCCAGGGGCCGGTGCCTCTCCCCAGTCCAGCGTGGCTCTCGACCCACCGTTTCTCTGGTTCCTCTAGATGGCAGTGGGGTATGCTGCTGCTAGAGCTGCTTCTTTTTTTTAAACCCCCAGAGAGGGGTGTTTGTAAGCCTTCAAAAAATAACCAACTAAAGGCATTTTGCAAAAAGTGCCTGCCAGAGACCCTTCCTATCTTCATTTTTTTTTTTTAATTTAAAAAGCATTTTAAATTCAAAGGGTCAGAGAGAAAAAATTGATGTAGGAAATCTTGAAACCTCAAATTGGAGTTCAAGCTCTGCAGAGGGAGCTGTAAATGGGAGGCTCGCAGGAGTTCAGTGCCCTTTTACAAAGTGTGGCAACAGCAAAATGTTGTCTGGTGAAGTAAACCTGCATTTTCGAGCACAGCTCTGGTTTTTGCCCCTGAGAGCTGCCATTTTTAGACATTCGGGAACAAAACGGTAAAAGCGTCACAGACCCCACAGTGCAGTAGTATACCATTTCCTGCCGCCCGACTCATGGCCAAGTACATGGTCCCGGGGTAGAAGGAGCTAGAGACGTGACCTTCGTCCCGCTCCCCAGCACTAAGAGACCATGATGGGTCTACAGAAGCAAACCAAAACTATGAGCAGAAGCACCAGAGAGCTTAGCCACAGCGTGAGGCAGCCATCCAACAGAGAACCGGGCAGTAACTGGCTGCCTCTGATCATCACTTTCTCTCAGTTTGGAGCAAATCTTGTGGAGAATGTGGTCATCTGTCCAGAGGGTAAGATCAAGGCTGACATATGAGAGGGAGGAGAGGTGGGATCTACTGTGGGACTAGGAACGGATGTATCAGAAAGGGGTCCCCAAGCCCTGGTGAGAATCTGTGTTCAGGAGGGAGAAAGGGAAGATCTAGCTATTCTATCTCTCCTAGTATAGAGGCTACATACTGGGGGATTTCCAACATGATGGGCATCTGCGTCACAAAACAAATTGAATGGAATATTCTGAAACTTATTTTTGCGAGTTTCTAAATTGCAATTTAGAATTGCACCATTGGAATGGCCCAGACACAGTACTTATATAACTTTTTAAAATTGTTCGTTTTTGCCCAGAGCCAGGGGAACGAACAGCTAAGTAAGCCAAGCTCCCGTTGTGTATAAAATTGATGTCAACTCAGCAACTGAACATCCATCTTGTGCAGCCAATACTATTTCTTAAACCAGGTTTTGGAAAGCAAATCAACTTCAGAAACTATAAATTGATTTTTTAAAAGAAACTTATCAAGGAGGGAAAATAACCTCTAGGGCTGAAAACCAGGTTTACAATAAGACGGCCATGGTGGGGTAGGGGTGGGTGGGGAGCCATCCATTTCTGTCTTATTCTTCTAACTTCATGTCAGAAAGAAGATTTCATGGAATAAATGCTATTTTCGAGTGGCTGTTAACATTTAAACTCAGTAGGGGAAAGAGTGAAAGAGCAACAGGGAAAGAAGAGCAGACGAAGTGAGTCTCCGGCAATTTCTTCAGGCTTCCCCGATTCTCCCAGGACTGTGAGGTTTTCCGGGATGCAGAGCTGCCTTCCACACTGAAACCAGGACAATCCCAGACCTTCTGGGATGGCTGCTCACCCCTATCCCCTTTATCAGCACTTTCAACCCACCCTGATTCAGGTTTTCTGCACTCTTAGGTCGCCAGATTAGAGATTTCAAAGACGGTCCAAAGCAGAGCCTACACTACGGACCACCATTACCACCAGCAAAAGGGAACCCAGAGTCTGAGTATGAAAAGGCGATCTGTTGCCCCTGGGTGGGGGGGTGTGATCCTAATGAGTCTTTCAGGGCACAGCCACTAAGAAGAGGAAATAAGTGTGGGTCACCCGCCATCCTCCATCCACTCCACTAAGAGTGAAAGAAAGACCAGGAAACTTCCCATGCTTTCCCTTGTCCAAATTTTGTCAGTTCTGGAGCTAGGAGTATCTCCCCTGAAGAAAAAAGACGTTATAGGTTTTTCAAGAATTTTTTAAACATATAGTCATTTTAGAAATGCCTGCCCAAGTTATCCATCTCCGGGAACAATGGTTTAAAAACGTAGCTCCAGGAAAGTGAGAATGTGCATTTCACATAGGAGCAGAGATTCAGGCATGAGTTACGTTATCTCAAAGATCAGACTCTTGAGACAACACCGCCTTCATTATGCACAAATGCATGACTTGCATGTAGAAAAAAAACGCATCTGATTATTTGCCAGCATTTTAGACAGTGCCCAGAACACACTGGCAAATCAGGAAGGAGAAACTGATAGTCAAATTAAGTTAATGCTACAATTACCTAAGGAGAGACTGAAACTTTTTGCTTCACTTTATTCTCCTAATACCAGTCTCAGAAATCACATTATTGTTACATAACATTTAGTTCATACTCAAACATTTATTTGGCCATAAGCCCAGTAAAATAAGAAAGATTTCTTTTAAAGCAACTTTCCAACCTCAAAGGTCAAAGCACAGTAGACTCATTCACCATGAACAGAGGCGCAGGGACAGAAATTTTTTTTTCCAGTTACTTACACATTGGTGGTAAAGATGCCATAGATCAAATCCAGCTCAGGCAGGAAGAACGTGCTCTGCAGTTCATTGTAGTAAAAGGGGACCTCCCCGGGCCGGGAGCAGTTCAAACGAGCCTTCATGAACGTGGTCCAGGTGTCCTCCAGCAGGAACCGCCCCCCAATGTCGTTCTTACAGACACGGGCAGCTCTGGAGAACACGGTTTTCCCACAGTCGTGCTCCACGGCATTTTCTCGAAAAAAGAAGTAGGTGAAATTTCCGATGTCATAAGAGGACACGAAGTTTGGTTCTGGAGGCCAGAGGAAAGAAGGAAAGTGTAAATGTTCATCTGATGTTTCTTTATGTCTTACCTCCTCAGGATTTTGCCCAAGGAGACGGGTGTTGTCTGCACAAACCCACAGGTTCGGAGGGACGCACCGCTGCCCCGTGAACAGCTCAGTGATCTGTGCTAAGGGCAGAACTCAGGACACAAGTTCCAAATGACAAGAAATCGCCCGCACGATTCCACACAAAAGCTTCCTGAGCGAATGCAGCCCTCGAGTCACAGAACATTAATGCCTTCAAAACTTTGCAATACACTTGAAAGCAACATGTACTAGTTGTTTATATATTCTCACGTGACCTTCAGAAAGCATGCGAAAAAATGAGATTAAACATACGCAATGTGGTTCAGAATACAGGAGTCCGGTATCATGTTTGTTTTTGTAGAAGACAACAAAATTCTTTGATCTTACTTGTATCCAGGAGTATGACTGACATAATTTATGTGCTTTTAGTGAGAACTTGAAGACGGTTCTCGTTTGTGAAAACTGAAACAAACATCGAAAACTATCAGGTTAGTGTCCTGAATTCGCTTTAGCAATTCCAGTTACTATGGTGACCATGGAACTGTGAGGACCAGCCCTTACTTTCCTATTTTTGGGTGGCTGGGAAATCCACATAGAAAGAGGGGAGTGTATGGAGATGGGGTCATTGCCTTCCAGCTTCCCGGTCTCATAATTAGCTTAAAAATAGGGATTCCGAAATGACAGAATGATGGCAAAATCTTTACTTAATCACCAAGCTCATTAGGAGTTAAAGAATTTGGTAGTTTATCAACTGCATTTCACATCTAGCATTCAAAGTGTTACCTCCGTAGCTTCTTGTGTGAATCCACTGATGACAGAAATGATACCCTTTCAGACATGGATACACCCTAACATTTATCTTTTAAAAATTTGACTCTCCCTCTCTCCTCTATTGCTCGGGGCTTTCTATTCAACTAGCAAGTGTCTGAATTTTATGGTGCCATTACGATAATATGGCAATAACCTTTTGTGTTCAAAATTAATGGAAAGATACACACAAGAACTATATCCGCAAGGACGCATTTCAGGGACAATTAGTTTTTGGGGGTCATTCAATTGGCCTTGAACTTTGCCAGATCCAATCAGATTGTACCAACGCACGTGTTACTGGCAGGACTACTAAAAGTCAGTTTGGCTACAAGACAACCCATTAATGTGAAAAGTAAGACACAACAGGCTCACCTCAGATGTGAATGTAGACGTGGAGGTGGCGTTGACTACGACTCGTCTATCCAAGAAACTGTTGCCAATTTTCAATTAACACATATATTAGATATCATCACAAAATGTCTCATTTTAATTCAACCTTACATTGTAAAGGTGTAAGAATGACTCTAGGTTGTGTACGCTGAACATGCAATGTGTTCTTCTCAGTCCATGATATTGTTCTTAAGTCATTTAATTACATCAAGTAATAGAGACTTCAATAAGGACCATTTTTCACTTATAAACTGTCAAACATCCTATTAGATCACTGTTGCGTTAGCCTGAAATGGGTATAAAGGAAAGTAGATTGCATTAAAATGTGTGAGATGGAAGTTAGTTGTATTTCCTGTACAGTAGGCTTTCATATCCGAGAGAGATGCTCACAGACACAGGAGGTGACTTGAGTTTTGGGACATACAGCAAAATAATGGGGCAGTTTTTGAATCTGTGTTCACTGAGCCTCCAAAAAAGAATGACTCATTGATGAAGACCCCAAAAGCAAAGATATGGAATAATTACCAAACTATATTTTGGTTTCTAAAGAAAATATTCGCTTATACGTCTAATTCTAAAGAGAAGACTAAACAAATCATTTCAGAATATGTCCTGTACCCAGGCTCTACAACCAGACTGTAGTTTGATCACTGTACTAAAAACAAACAACAAAAATTATCATGATCATCATGACAGCAACAACCACAGAGCTGACCGAAGATGGAGAAAACAAAGAAAGAAGGTACAGGACTGGGTGTGTCTAGCCTGGGGCCATGGACACCAACACACGTGGATGAGGTGTGGGCAGAGTCCACAGAATTTATCAAACACCCTCACAAAGACCTGTTCCTGCTATGAATTCGAGGACACACCGCCTGGAGACCAGAGTATGTGTCTCTAGGAAGTCTTGAGCAAGAAAATGAGAAGCTACAAAGATAAAAATATCTGTCACGGTTTCTTCCAGTCAAAGCTGAGTCTGTAATTTAAAAATATCTGCAGAGTGCTAATGCTATTGGGCCAGGCTCTACACTCGGGGCTTCGCATTCACATGCTCGTTAAACTCAAAGGAATCATAGACGTAGGTGCTGTGTTACTAGTAAGTTGCCCAAGTTCACACAACTAGCCATGGGGGGCATGGGATGGGGGTTATGTCTTGAATCCAGACAGTCTGACCTAGGTAAGAGCCTAGGCACTTACCATTACACTACATTGAAAACAAAACAAAACAAACAAACAAAAAAAACAATGGGCTGCAAGAGAACAACTGACTATATTAACAATATTCAAGAATAAAACTTAGTATTCTGGACAATGCTTTAGAAACCAAAGTGGGGAACAGGTTGACTCAGGAAGAAAATGCCCAGATGAAATTTACCCTGCAGCTATTAGGAACATCAGGAATGACACAGAGAAGAGAAAGCGGGAGGAAGGAGCCAATAATCCAAGGGCTTATCAGGCAAGAGTATTACTGGGAAGCATTTGCCCAACTCCGTTTTGACGTTTCAAATGGTGCCACCACAGCCCCAGAGAGCCAGGGAGCGACTGTTAGGACATTTATTCCACTCTCATCGTCCGCCCCACTGAATAATCTCACTCCGATGTCTCCTCAAAGGGGGACACTGGCTAATGCCATGCAGATAGGCCCACAGCTTCCTCTCTTCACAGAGAACCTCCAATAGCTCTCCAACCCCCCCCCCACGAAACAACTGTATGATAGGGTGACAAAGCACATTTCAGACAGAAATGTGTTCCCACACACATTTTTTCCGACTGAGAAAATGGGGAAGAATTTGTGCTTGGTGTGTAGTATATGCTGTTCTAGAATCCACCACACAGTGTAGGTCCATTTAGTCAGGGAGCTAACTGACACTTGGAGACCCATTCTGCTGTCCACAGTGGCCCTTCAGGACGATGACGGGTCCCTGACTGTGGGACCTGCTGTAAAACCAGGACACTCCATTTCCTGGAAAGCAGAGCCTTTTGAAACGCAGCCAGCATCCCGTTCCTTTTCCAAAGACAATAAAAAAGCTGGAATAATTGTTAGACAGACAGCCAAATATCTCCCGCATTTACAGATATAAATCTAGAGGTGGGGGATGTTTGGATCTCACCAGGCAGTATAATAAGATGCATACTGTTTCCCCTCCATTATTTAAGTTCTGTCTCTTGTTAGACTGTAATTCGCCACAAACTAGTAATCTGTCACTCCTGAGTGAATTGAACAAGGCATAAATCAGGCACTGCTTTCTTGTCTACAATGAATGTGAGTGCGTGAAAGAGAGATCTGAGTGGTTCTTTATTCTTTATTGTCATTAGAGCTACACATGAATACAAGGTGTGCTGCCAATTCAGAAAAAAAAGAAAGACATGAGTATGTCAGCTCATTATAAATATATGCACAGAGAAACTGGTTTTCCTCATGTTTGTACAACATATTGAGTCATGGATTACAGAGCATTTTACAAAATATGTCATAAGAGGAAATATGTCTCATGATACAGGAACTTTTATTTTATACATTTACTTATTAGTGACCATGCAGATAGGGCTAAGAGAAGAGATCCATAAGATAATAAACGTGAGTAATGAGAAGAAAAGCTTCAGCGTTTCTGAGATTTTGACCATGTAAAACCAAATCCTGAACATCCTAATGGATCCTTCCATTCTGTATTCTCTCTAATGTATCAACTCCTGCATCCGTCTGGAGGCCCCTCATGTTCGGTGGTTCAGTCTGATGACTGACCGGATCACCGATAGGTTCCTGATATAGAAATATTTGTCCAAATTAATGCCAACGGATATTGAAGGCAGAAAGGAATTCCAATTTGCCAACTTTACAAAAGTCTTACTAGAATCAGAATCTATCATAAATCCTTTTTCAATCAAAAGCCACCTTGTAATACACTCACCAAAGGCCAACTAGAAGATGGCTGGGCATGGAGCCCGTATGGGCCGTGGCTCTGCCCATCCCAGCTTGAAACCCTGGGTTGGACCATGGACACCTGGAATGTTCTTTCATCCCATATGACAATTCAGGGCACAAAAGACCTACTTTGCCGCAAGGATTAAAGAGACTGGTACACAGCAGACTCTCAGTAAGTGGTGCCTATAATTAGTATTTCACGATTTACTCTTGATTTCCCTCTTACTAATTTATATTTGGTAAGACTCCACATAATGATAATGACTAATCAAACATGCAAATGTTAAAGGTGATCAAAATTTGAGAAAGATAAATAAAGCCATGCTGAATGCAAGCTATTCCACAAAAAAGAAAGGAGTTAATGGAACTGATCTTTAGATATGACACAGTGAGCCAGATATTTTTAATTCCTAAATTTGTTGGTGTCAGTCACTACCAAAACAATTTCCATATATGTTCCTAGATTTCATACCCTCTCTCACTGTGCACATTTTTTCCCTTGTTACACCTCCATGAAAATCTGCTGCAGGGTGTTCCAAAGTAAACTAATTACATCTAGGTATTTAGTAAGCATGGATAATTACACTAAAATTAAATTAAGTACAATGTGGTTTAAAAGCCAGTGACATACTAAAGCTTTCCCTGAGACTTCCAGTAAAAGACAGACAGACAGATGGGTACGTTTGTATGTGTGTATATGTGTCTGTGTGTGGGTCACATACACACATACTTATTGGGGTGCATGTATATACGGCTCAATACTTCCACCTACTGGCTGTGTGAACTTAGTCAAGTTATTTCACAGCACACATTCTGTGT